TGAAATAATTATCAACCTTATTTATGTGACAATTTTTGAAATAAACGTAAAGTAGAAATGAGAAAATTTGAAGGTAATTCCTTTAGAATAACAGGTAACACTAATTTTACAAAGAAATTAACTAGCTTTGTATCGAAATCTGTCTGGGGAAATCCAGCTATGAAAGTCAAAAGCTAAAACTGAAATTCGCTGACACACAGCCGGCGCTGAAGCTGTTGTTTTTCGACCGTTCTCTGAACGACTGTTATGAATGAACACTGAGGAACAAAATAATACACACAGAAGTCATTTTTTGACAAATATAATATTTGAAAACCCAAATGTTTCTGTTTTCAAATGAAATTCGCTTATTCCAGCCTAATGTGCCCGTTTAAACTCAACTAAAACTTTTAATCGATGCGATGAAAACTTCACAACAAAGCTGTCTCGAATTTGAGCGTGTTTCCTAAAATATTTGCTTGAATTTAGCATCAGCTTGACCAAAAAGTCAATAACACAATGCTAATTGATAAATTTACATTTCAAATAGACTTTCTCTTCTATAAAAAAACATACAAAATGTACCTTAAATCTTCGCTCGCTCAATTTTCCTTCACCCGATTCTAGCCTCGAAGAAAACAGTGATTAATTCATCCAGGGCAAATTTGTCGCTTGATCTTTTGTCTTTTTTCTTTCAAAACGACAGCTTAGTATTTTCTTCAACTTCCACTTTTCATCTGTGCATTTCATCGGTGTATTTTACCGTCAGGAGAGGAGATTTGTTGAATTTGCCTAAATTTTACCGCGCTAGCTCAGTTTCTTGGCGTGCACCCTTGTGCACCCACGGGCAAATGGTAGTGGTTAACTGACCAATCAGAGCGCGCGATTTTCTTTTGTTATGTTATAATTCTGATTGGCGGGATTGAACAGCAAAAGTTAAGATCATAAAACTTCATAAAGCATTATAGATATATATTCAACTTTACTTTTCCAACCAACTTCCATGTAACAAAATTAAGTCTCGTCTCAGTCTGAATAAAATTGTAAACTTTCCTTGGCCATTGTTTGCAACTCATGATTGGTCAAAATCTATTAACACACAAAAAAAACTCCATTTTAAAGTGTAATTAGACTAGATTTTATTGCGTAAACGGCCTTTCTGTATGTTCTTGAATTCTCTGTGTAAAAATGAGAACATTCCTATGTTGGGAAAGCACATTGACGCAAAACCAAAGAAATTGCTTTCCACCTTACCCAGATCATTACTTAAATCACCACTCGACTCACTTGACGAACACCTCTAGACAAAGTAGTTGGGAAGGTTGTACAACTTAACCGTTGTCCATTTTAATCCTCAAAAAAGAGTCCTCCTTTCTCTTTCGTTAACCGCTGTTTCGATTCGAACATGGCTTCTTTGCTTTCTATTCTATTAAAACTCGAAATTCATCTTTGTAGAGGTCAGTAATATTATCAATGGAATTGAAGTTATGGCTTGAAATAATAATCAAAGGATTTTTCAGTCGTTTTATAGTATTTTGAGTGAACATTTTTAAACCTTTCTGATACATACCTTGGATCTTGTAGGTAGGGTTACGAGTTGAAACTGCTTCGTCGCTAGGCAGCTTAGTGTTACGTAAAGACCGCGTGTACGTGTTGGACGCAACTTCTGGAATGGCACATGTTTTGCATGGTACTTAAAGGTTACAGATGGCTGCTGATGGGAGTTCAGAACTGCCATAACACGGCTGGGCCTCTCTGACCTAAATGAGATACTTCTTAAAAACAGAATATTAAAAATATTAAAACACTACCTTTGCTGTGCAGTTTAAAACCGAATGCAAACTCAATTTAACAACAACAACAACAACAACAAATTTTATTGAAAATTGGAAAATAACTAATTACATTACTTTCTCACCCGCAAATAGCTTATGAACTAATCGAGGCGGGGGGAGCTGAAGACATACTACAAAACAAGATTTATATATAGATGGACTAAATAACAGTGAAGACACTACAATACAGTAAATAGAATTTAAACTAACATAAAACAAGGCATGTACATAACGATTACGAAGAGAGGCTAACCTAAAGTATTAAATAACTTAATAAGACGGGAGACTTCGACATAATCATCTTCTGACCGCAAAAAATTTGGTAATAATTCCTTTATTTTTTTACGAAAGGACGAACGTTTAAGTGTTTTAATCGAATACGGAATAATTTCCACTTTAAAAGGCCAGGAATCTATAAATTTATGTCAACTATCACCAAACAAGTTCAGTGCATCGTTTCGGATCCTACATCTTGAAAATTGCTCTCTTTGGTACACTAGGTGTACCAGAAACAAAACAAAGATCGTGGGTTTGAATCCCACTAAAGTTTGAATGAATGAGCTTTAGTATTATCTGAGGATAAATGCATCTATCAGCAAAATCAGATTTAGTGTACTCAAGGTCCGTTTTATTCGGGTCCGATTTAATCTTCCTTACCTCTTAGGCGCTGGCAAACGCTAACTTCACGCAATAATCTGAAACAAAAAAAATAATCTAACAATTAAAATAACTGAAAAAAGAAACAAATATCTGCCTTACCTTTTAGAACTTGGAGCCGTTTTTCAGTCTTAATCAGCGACACCATGCGTTTCTTCAAGAACGCAGTCAAAAGTAATTCCTAAACGAGCTTCTTGAGAGCATACATCAAACGATCACGTACTAGGTCTTGAGAGGGCGCGCTCCCAAAAAAAAAAAGACGTCTAGGAGATGGCGATGTTCGAGGAAAAAAGTTTAAAAAGATGATGTCCAAAGTTCCTGAAATAAAACTCGTTAAATTAATTATCGCTTTAAGTTAGAAAAAATACACTGTTCAATCGTTATTGTGTTGATCAAACTTTATTGTTACTTCCTGAAAACCGACTCCGTTACAACAAGATACAACTTATTTATATAGATTATTTAGTAGTGGCTGAAAGGGAAAAAACGAGTTGATGAATTCTTCTTTGGTTCAACTTTATTATTCATCATATTTTAATTACGTACAACTCAATTACAATAACATCAATAAACAAATCAGTTTCTGCCCTCTATTCAGCACTTGACTTCCGACTCTGGTATAGTTGGTGTCATACGTTTCTTCAAGAACGCATCCAAAAAGAAGTAGAAAAAGTGTAGAAAACAAAATCCATTTGCGATCTTGAGGGGGCGCGCCCAAAAAGATGTGACTCCATTCACTCTTGAAAAAGTTCAAAAAACTGTGGGGAAAATAAGCCATTTCCAACGCAGCTGAAATGAAAAAATTAGTTATTTGTTCGTTTACTTTGGAACACACAGATGTGGCACTTAACGTCATTTAATATGCGTATTTGTGTTAAAAGACATCACACTCACAACTCTGCTTTTTTATTTGCTTTATTTTTTTTATTGACGTTATTACAGCAAGTATTATTTAGAATACGTGATAACCCTGCAAATCAAATCATCATTAGTACCTATAAATAGCCACCCTATAGATTTAGCATTAACCTTAAAAGAAAAAATCACACAGACAACACATTAGGCAAAGTGTTTTTATTGAATTCAGTTCGTCGATTACAAAAATTAAAGTGATTTATTTAGACGGGGTGCGCTCCTACAAGAATTTGGCGTCTGGGGAAAACCGAGGAGTGTGGAAGACACAGATGCAATATGCGTATTTATATTTGGGTTGAAAGTCATCACATTCACAACTCTCCTTTTCTATTTGTTTTACTTTTTTTATTGACGTTATTACAGCAGGTATTATTTAGAATACGTGATATCCCTGCAAATCAAATCATCATTGGTACCTATAAGTAACCACCCTATAGATTTAGCATTAACCTTAAAAGAAAAAAATTACACAGACAACACATTAGGCAAAGTGTTTTTATTGAATTCAGTTCGTCGATTACAAAAATTAAGTGACTTATATAGATGGGGTGCGCTCCTACAAGAATTTCGCGTCCGGGGAAAACCGAGGAGTGCGACACCTCGAATGAAACACACCAGGGTCCCCCGAACGGTACGCAGGGATATTTGGCGGCTTGCTATCGAAACATCGTCGATACCAAGCCTTTACATTTTTGAAGCCGAATCCGAAATCAGATCGAAAGTCGAATCGAAAACCGTAAACAAGCCGAATGAACCGAGCCGAAAATCTAATCGCTTAAAACAAGAAAAAATTCCACGTACCTTGGGCCACGTTGAATTATTACTTGGGCTGATTGATGTGGTGCAATGTTTGCGTAATCTACGCCGTGAACCTTCTTTCAAAAACAACGTTGCTAGCCGTGGAATTCAATTTGCCGTACGCTATTGCAGGCCAAAGGAGTCTGCCTTGCGCAAACTTTGTACCAACATCGATCAGCCCTACCTTATCTGGGATGCTGTTCTTTGTCGTCATGTTCCTCCACCAAAGGACCAAGGATACTGGGACGCACAATCCAACAGACTAAGGCGTAGATAATCCAAAAAATATACGTTGTCTATGATGAGTTGCTCCAAAGATGAAGTCCGGCCGGCCAATTAATATTAAAATTATAAAATATTAGTAGCTGTCTCAACTAACATTGGACTATGCGACAAAAACAACAACAACTGCCGAACAGGGGATTCCACACAAGATACGATTTAATCACTTCTTCCCTGAACAGTTTTCAGAATTACGTTTTCCGGTTGCTTAATTCAAGACTGAAAATTTGTTTAATTCGTCAGATTCGTTTGAAATTTTTAAAATTTTCTCCCACCAGCAAGGAGAGGGGAAATATAGGACCTTAATCATGAATACCAACGTTAGTTAAGACAGCTCTTTAAACTTATTGCTACATGCTGTCTGTCCCTGGCTTTACCTTGGCTACCTAATCATGAAGTCATTTACACTACCATGTCATCGACTTCTGATTGCAAAACAGCCAGTCTAATAATTCCAGCGTGATTTGCTATAGTTTAAATATGAGCCTAATCCAAAGGCAACGAAAATAATTTTGATGGAAGCAGAATGACGTATTAGTGTAAACGATCATCAGTATCATTGTCGTCATCACCATCGTCATCATCATCATCATCGTTTTCTTCGGTTTGGTTCTACATGATTCTCCTTCTCCACTCATCGCCGCAAAGGCAGCTACCTCGCCTACTTAATACGTATCTGGACTATCTTTCTATGGCCCTTGAAGTTCTTTGTTCTTCTTTCTTCGGCCGGCCTCTTCCTGTGATGTAGCACTACACTAATACAATTCAATGCAACACAAGTCAATAAAATCCATTTTATTCACATTTCCAACGAGTACAAAGCAAATATCACTCAAGAGTGTGCTTCATAGGATTCAATTCCAGTTTCGTAGCTATGACGCGCTTCAAGAGCTGTTGGAGGTAAAACATTGCTGATGACTCGAGCTCCAGGAAGGCGAATAAACCAATATCCACGAACGGTCGACGTGAAGACTACATACGCCTACCATTTGTAGACGATCTGTGCCTGCGTAGTGCAATGCAGGACTTCCTAAGAAGAAAACCCTCCAGCGAGACAAAATTAACAGAAAGACAAACCAGATCGTCTTAGTGTAAACAATGTCACGCCAGAGTATCCTCTCCTGCTACTTCCGTGTTGCTGATGAAAGACTATCTATAACCTTTGATGTTTTCACCTGAATGCCGTTCAGGGACACGCACATAAAGGTATGGTGGGCCTTCACAAGTGTGTCCCCGAAATATTCGGCCTAACAGCATTCTCGCGATTACTTCGCAGGCTACTAACTCTTCTAAAAGCATTACGGCTTGTTTGTGCTCCTCCAACGATGAAACTGCGTCGTAGATTGGTCTCGAAGACTTCCTACGCTTACGATTTGTAAGCGATCTAGTCTATGGTGTGTGGATTGTCCCACTTTTTCCTGATAATTTGCTACAAGATGTTGGCTCTTCGCGGGAAGAAACACCTGGTCGCAGATTACCTTTGTTGTACGACTAAACCTGTCAACTGATCTACCATCACAAGCTCGAAGTCTGCAAATGCGCATCAAAAGATTTCACTTCACACTCGTACTTTATAACATCAAAGGTCAATTTGAAAGCAGCAGACCCGAATTTGCGAGGCTAAACTAACTATCTACCTGTAACCAGAGAGACCATTAAGCTTGTGAGTGGTGACCAAATGAGGTCCTCTCGGTGCAGCTGAATGATCTGAAGTCTCTAGTTTACTAAGTTATGTCTTAAAATAATAATTTTCTGGGTGAACCTTACGAGTGATAGCTTCACTTGACCAGCGCATAGACTATCAAGTGAAGTGTGATAGATCAATTTTATTTGGCGCAACTAAGCGGGAGGTTGTTGTGAAGACGACGACAAAGACAACAACAACGGCGGCGGTGGCGGCGAAGTACATCCAAAAAAGGCGCAAAAAGACGCAGCCGAACCGTTTCCTAGAAGCCAAGCCGAATCCTAAAAGCCGAAATCTTATCGTTGACCGAACACCTGCAAAGGAACCCAACTTATGAAAAAGGGCAGGGGAGGCCCTTACCAGCCCAGGGAGCCCCGCTAACTAATCTACCTACAGTTAAGTAAAGCCGAAAGAAAATCCGGAAAATTTAGGCCGAACGTGTGTGGAAAGTATGCTTTGCAAGGTTCATCCAGAGCTCTATATACCCCCCCTTGACCCAACCCATAAGGAATGCACCTAACCTGTACCATTCCAAGAGACTGGTTGTGCTGTGCTGATCTGAAACTGAGTAGTCAAGGATCGTCGTCTGTTGCGATGATCTGATCTGGTGGTCTGGTATGGTGGTGACGGTCTGATCCGATGGTCTGATGGTTGTCGGGTCTGAGGATGGTCTGGTGTGGTACTCGGATTTGGTGGTCTGATCTTGGGCGGATCTGGTTGACTGTTGTGGAGTTTTGGTCTGGTGTGGTGATCTACTCTGGAGGTCTGTCTGAGGAAAATGGTCTGGTCGGAGTACTGAAAATTGAAAAGATGAGAAGCTGAGTTAATAGTAGTAAATGGCTCAATTAGGGAAAAAAGGGATTGATGCACAAGAAAAGTAGGAGAAAAAAATCGTGAACAAGGAAGCATGGGAAAAAATTCCCACTTTTTTGAAACTCCCATCACCCACTCTTTCCTTTCCCGTATCCCTCCCGTGCCCCCCCCACTCCTCCCGCCTCCTATTCTCCAGAGCGCCCACTCCCTATCCTCCCCATAAAATTCTTTGCACATTTTCGTTCCACTCGAAGTGTAAAACCCTTTTTATTCTGTTCTTACTTAGTACTTTTATTTTTAAGTCCTTGTCAGTTTATTCGCACTAGATAAGGATTGCCCTTTCAACGTTCCTCTACGTTCATTTACGAATTGCGATGACTGTGACTTTGTATTATTAACTCATGCAACTCATGAAGAGTTGGCCGTGGTAAGAAGATATGGAAAAACATGGATTTGAAAAAAATTCCTGCCAGGGGTGTGTTGCGAAAAACGTTTCTGTAAATGCCATCGGCGGCTGAAAAAATTTTACAAGGAAGAAATTGTCCAACCAGAGTTCGCGCATGATATACATCACACGTGGTGTGGATCAAGGTTTGATTTTTTTAGTTGTTTATTTCAAAGCAAAGCTAGAGCAATTTATCCAAAACATGTTAAAAAATTATGGAAATCATCGGAAAGCTGACGCGAAAACTGATCAATAACTTAAACGGCTATATCGCAAGTAGGTCACACTTGGATTCAGAACATCAATCAGATAATTAAATTGTCAATAGTCTAATGTGTCTACTTATCAATCTTAACTGTTTATGATCTTTCTAAACTGTAGGTTGCATATATGAACGTATCTCTTGTTCCGTCGATTCATTTTATTTATTTGGCTAAATAAAGTTTGTTTTTTACACAGCTTTACACGACCCCTTTTGAATGTAAAAACAATTTCATCCAACTGTAAGAAATTCGTTAACGAACTCAATAAACTTCAGATATTCCTAACTGTTTAGAAGAAGCGAAAGCCTAGCAACAGTTTACAAAAAAGTAGTTCGAAATTGCCCTAAAATTAAAATGTTTAAACAACGACTCTCACTCCCATCTTCAGCAATTCATGATACTTTTTCTTTATTCTTTTAAATACAAAATGTTTTTTAACAAATAGAAAATGAGGAAAAAATCTTTTACAAACTCGAGGCTAAGTTCCGTAACAACTTATAATAAGTCTATCTTTATGATTTAAAGGTACGATTTGCGATGTTAACTCCATTTCAGTTCAATTTTATTTTTCTCAATATGCCTTGACTAATTCTACAGACTTTTTAGGTTGCTGTTTGCAAGTTTAGATAAATGTTTCTATAGAATTAATATTTGAGTTTGAGTACAGTGTGAAGGCCAAGTTAACCATTTGGTTTTCTACAGGACAAAGTCTCGCTGTTGCACACCGGGAAAAATAAATCAAATTTGACATTTTGTGAATTCCTTTCTGGTTACCAACATGAATCAGGGGGTGATGAATTTGGCAGAGGAGCAAGACATGAATTGCTGGGTTACTTTACTGAAACGGACATTGATATCTCCACTAAGCTTTGCTTGTATTTTAGTGACGGCCACGTGTACATGACCATGTACGAACTTACGCAGAGCATCCAAAATCATGCATTAAATGTAATAATATATTTTGCTTGAACACTTTGTTTCATTTCTACTCGATATTTCTCCTCTAACAACAAGTTATCAGTCTACTTAAAAACAAGAACGTTCGACATAAACAAAATAACTAAATTTAAGCTGGAATGGCCTGAATGCAAATTTCTACCGAATTGACGATGACTTTAACGAGTTATTTACCTCGTACGCTGGTTGTAACATCCCAGACTGTTTTAGTAGTCATCATTCTTGTAGTGAAGCTAAGAAAGACGGATAGCCAGTCAAAGTGAGAGCGCCTTGCTTCTCTTTCGTGAGGAACCTTCGCCATCTTACGTACCCGAAGCTATCAATTTTTGAATGTGGCGCGGAGCAACCACAGGTTTGATTTGCATAATAATTTTTGATTGGATTCTCTTACTGCACGTGTCTATGCATCAAGAACAAGGGTTGTTAACAACAAAACTCAGCTGAGGGCTTTTGGGACTTGTAAGGTTAATTAAAATTTGCAAAAAATTAAATACAGGGGCGCTTTCCATTCAAGCAATACTTTCCAAAATTTGGAAACAGCGGCAAATAGTACAGAAAAGTTTCCAGAAATTCTGGAAACTGTTGAATTTCCGAAACGTGAACCATTCAATTGAAAATTCTAAAAAAATCCGAGAGCAAAGTTGAATGGAAAGAACACTTCCACCGGAAAAAAAAAAAAAGTCGAAAACTTGGGTATACCTCGCGTGGTTGTCCTCTTTTTTGGAAATTTGGAAACTGTTGTTCCATTCGCTACAGGAAGCTGCCGAAAACTCAGACCGGACGTTTTGGGTGAATGGAAATAAAGCGCCCAAGGTCTTTGGATAGTGAGCTATTTGTAGGGCAAAAAAAAAAGGCTGTTATATTTGGTTGTAAAAGAAAAACTTACAACTTCTTCGCTCGGACCACGTGACCCGAAACGCATTGACCGCGTGGAATGGCATGAGGCCTAGAGACTAGGCAAGGTCGACCTAAATTAAGTAAGATCGTCTGTTGAGTCAGACGTCGAACTTGAGACGCGTCGAAACTATCAACTGAATCAGACCAAGAAACAGTTTAATAAATTTTGTCCCGAACGTGGCTAAATATACATTATCATACATTTTTTTAATTTATCAGCTGAGTTCGTCGCATGTGATCAACGTTTGTCCCGGAGACGTTCTATTCGTCTGAACAGAAGCAGACAGATAGAACGTGTTGGACGATCCAAATCCATTCAGAAGAACTTAACTGAGCTGGACGTCGAACTTTTTAGCTTCATGAACTTAACTCACTAAGATTGATTCGTCTCATGAAAAGTTTGACGTTTGGTGTAGGCCTAAAATGCGTAAGTCAATTCACTTAATTGTACGGCCGACAGCCCTTTTTCAAGCTCATCTGTCGAAGTGTAATTTGTAAAAAAAAAAAAAAAAATAGACATACTGTGTTCGTTTGCGATGAAAACAGTTGGGGTTGTAATTATTTCTTCCAGTCTGGGTTGTTGACACGCACTGGTTAACATACCTGGTTGGAAGGTATAGGAGTTTCCTTACAAAACTTGGCTAACCGTTTACACCAGACAACAAGCGGTCTCGATTATAGGAGTGACTATAGCAGTGACTCGCCTAGCAGCGTAACCCTTTTTCGATGGTATGATCACCCACCTAGCTAGCTGGTCCAAGTTCTCTCCATATAATTAACACTTTGGCTCGCCCAGAAGTAAACTCGGTCAAGGCGAAACAGTCAGAGAATGCGTGAACGCTGTTTTATACAATCTAACTAAAGTTTACTTGGATGGGAGGGTCCCGGAAAAACTTTTATACTGATAAACGGGTCATTTTCAAAAAATGCGACATGTCATGCAAAAAAGAAGAATTATTGGACACGGGATCTAGATGACCTGTGTCAAGCAAGAGGGATGGCAGGATGAAACAAAAAAAAACTATGTCGGCACACGGTATTTCCTGAAAACCCTATTACGGCCTATATATGTAAAAACTTGCAAGAGGTGACAGGCTGCACATCTTCACCGGCGTGAAACCTTTGAAAACCTTTTACATATTGCTCCATTGAGGAGAACTCTTTCAGGGATATTACAGCTTCTATATAGCGGGCCAAGATACGGCTCGGTATAGTTTATGTTCAGCAAGGGAAAATTGTGTAAGTTGAGCAGAACCTTTAAAATGTACAACAGACAATTTATTCAGTTCGCGCTTATTCCTGTTGAATTTGTAGCCCGTTTATGAGATTTGTCTACTGAAAAATATGATAATTTTAGTAGCTGCTGTAATCTTAGGGTATCTGGTTTTAATATCTCCGTAAAGTTTAGGTTTACGCGATCTCAGAGAACAATGTTCAGCTGTGCACAGCACGTAGTCTTTAAATATTTGTGTATTTATCACGTCTTTAGTAGAAGCATGATTTACATACATTATGATGCTCTGTCCTTTGAATGTCGCTTTGAAACTCAATCACTTTGTAAATGCGACTAGTAGTTTTAATATCAGAGGAGAGTATTTTAAGGCTCGATATTTTTCAATATCATTGACTAAGCGTGTTGCTTTTTTACCAATCAACTGACTGGCTTCTTTGTGCCACTACATAATGTCTGCAGTTAAATATAAGTTTACAAGCAAGACCGGTGGTTTCGAATCTTACGATTCTCATCAGTTGCTATGTGGTGGGATGGTTTAGGTGAACTCTGAACCATTCCGTATTGCTTGATTTGGTGAGCGTTTATATATCCACCCTGGTTTGTTTGGAGGATCGAAAATGGTGCAGTTTGGTTGGTTCCTTGCAAAAAACCAATCAGGTTGCTGTAGGTTCGATCCGTGTTTTCTCAAAGAGCCAGGTTGTGGTTTTATAAAGGTTTAAATTTGAAAAATAGGTGTCTTGCCTTGCTTTGTTGTAAAGTGTAAAAACATCTTGTTAAAATGTTTATGATGTATAATTGTTCCTAAAAATGGCGAGGGACTATGTTGTATATTTTCGTTTCAATTTGAAGCAAGACTTGCGTTGACTATACAGTTGTGTACTGTACAGAATGTAGACATGATTATTTTTTACTGGCACGGCATGGCACCTTATGGCGTGAGTAACTTTAACGGATGACAGACTGCACATCTATAACGGCGTGAAACCTTAAGTTAACCTTAAATGTTTTGTCATCTGTCGTCCTGCGTGCTGTGCAAATTGCTACAATTGCATTGTGGGAGATATCACTTTTGTTGTGAGAGCCTGGGTACTAGACAGAGCCACCAACAAAATTTTCTAGAACACCAAGAAACACCCATAGGTCATCCACGGAGACCCAGGGGGCTGTTTCTCGAAAGTCCCGATAATTAACGGGCCCGG